CTCTTTCCGTCCGTTCGATGTTAAAATCAATTGCCTAAAGCAGAAGAAAGACCCCTTCAATTACATTCATCGATCTCATGGCATTTGACAATTTATGCCTAGAGTTGCAAAGCCTGGCCAAAGATGCGGCTCTTCGCTTTTAAGAAAAGATCGTGGCTTTCTTCTTTTTTCATTTGAAAGTGTTTGCACATTCATGTATTTGCAATGCAATTACTTCATATCAATGTATCACCGGAATTTGCAAAATTAAATTGATCATTAATTGATTTGAACTATGGAAAAATACATATGATGTCGGCATTAAAGGTCCACCTTTTGGAAAACCTGGTCAGTTGTAAAAATAAATGGGTGAAGTGGGGGGAAAGGAGGAGCTGAAACCAAAGGCTCAAATAGAAAGTATGTTTAGAAAATGATGATGGCAGCCTACGTACAAATGTGCTTGACACAATTGATGTATGGGATGTTATAAGAGCTGTAAAAGCCCACAAGAAAATGATTTTTTAAAAATGGCGTGAGAGAGTAGAATCAACTTCAAGGTCATGAAACATCTTGAAATGTCCTCATGGAACTCAAAGCCCACCGTCATTGTGTTGATTCCAACTCATAGTGACTCTATGACTCTACACCATCCATATAGGACTTCCCAGCTGTAAATCTTCATGGGAGAAGATCGTCTTATCTGGTTCATTTGAACCACTGACTTTGCAGTTAGCAGTCCAATAACTTGACCGACACAAGATGCAAATAATTGTTTCAGATAATAATTCCAGAAATAAAAATACAGGGTTAATCTGCACATTGATCCGTGCGCCAGTGAAGCTTTGGCACTCAGAAGAAAGAAAACCCCCCACCAGATGGCAAAGTGGACCAATGTCAGGGGCAGGAGTGGATCCTGAGAATGAGTTGCAGTTAGAAGGGAGAATGAAAAGATGCCATGACCAGAAGGTAGAACCATATGGAAAGATACAAATGTCACTCACAATTATAAAGACCACTCCAAATGGAAACACTGTGTGACCAATGATAGTAGTCATGAGATACTGTCACTTACCCTAGGGTGATTCTCCTTAGGAAAGAACAATTGCACATTTATTGTCTGGTGAATTGGGGGTAAAACACATGAATTGGGAATATGATACTCTATTTAGTTACTTACTGATACACACATTCAAGAAAGAAATTGAGGCAGCTTTCAAAAATATATGGAATGAATTCAACATATTAAGGAAAATAGTGAACCACGCAGTAAAAGCAGCCCACAAGGAACAACAGAATAAAGAGTCTGAATGGTTGTAAGTTGGGGGTGGTAGTGGCAGAGCACACAATTAACCAAAACCTTTGCAATAACTGAGTGATCTCATGTCCACGAGATGAAAACAGACAACATGAAGCAAAACTTGTAATGCCAGGGAAGCTCCCTGACACGGAAACACGGGAGTACATGCTCCCAATTCCTCTACAGAAGCTGCCGAACATGTGGATGGCAACCCGAAGACCCTCCTGCCCTTCTGGTTATGAAGGACAGTTCTGAATGGCTACGTCCTATCTAGAAATAAACAGAAACAGTGTAGATTTAAATGAGAACAATTACCTGCTCTGCCAGTAACGATGCTAAGCTTGAGTATGCATCTGCAAACTCTGGACCATACTTAATGGAATCCTTCAGTAAGAGGATGGCTTCTTCTTTTTTCTCCTGGGACCTATAGATGATGATGGGCAAAAAACAGAATATATAACAATTTGTTTACATGTCAGATTGGACTGTAAATCTTCATTTCCTTTAGCAAAGACCAACTGATTCACTCTGGGTTGTGCTGCAAGTAAATTCAACTCGATTGTCTCAAGGTGATACCAGTTTTTATCTGCGTCTTAGTGCAGACATGGTATAGGTGTAAGTTACGGTGTAGAGAACTCATTGATTTTCTTCTGTTTTTAATTATTTTTAAAATTTTTATTTCTGGCTAGGCACTTTT